TATTCTATATTTTCATATTTTTGTTTCATTGTTGCAAGGGTAATATGAGTTAGCTGATCCCTTGTGTTTGAAAGAAAGATTTCTTTATAAATGACTTTGTCCTTAATTGATGCTCAGGCTTTAAAACGGCGGGAAGATGCCATTTCAAGAGGTATGTATAATTGTGTGATTGCATTAGAAAGCAAGTGAATCGTAATTCTTCCCTCTCTAAACTAAAATTTTTCGATTAACTTTGGCAGCTGGAATTATTATAGAGGAGAAAAATTGGCCACCATTTTTTCCTCTTATCCATCATGATATTACAAATGAAATACCCATCCATCTACAACACATTCAGTATGTTGCCTTCACAACGTTGTTGGGTGAGTGGACGTGATGCTCAGTCATGAAAGTTACATTCTTGTTTGAAAGTCCGGATGCTAGTTGTTTGCTGGTTTCTCATGATAGTTTAGCTAACTTTATATGACAGTAATGTTAAAAGTTGAAATTTAAATGGCAAATAAAACCTTAATATGGTGATGCCATATTATTTATCAAATCATTTCCCAATATTATGGTTTTTGATACTGTTTATTCTATCTGAATATCATATTTTTTAACTCACGTGGATGCACTTGGAGTTGAGGTTTTGAGGTCTGTCAGCTTAACGAGAAATCTCATGCCCATGATATTTTGTTGTCGTCAAATTTTAGCTGCCAACCCTCAACTTGTGGTATGACCCTTACAACCACCATCAGACTTGATCTTCTCAAAATAGACAGCTCGAGTTCTTTTAATTAATCAGTATGTCTAGCAATTATGTAATGGAAGCAAAATCATTAGTGCTTTTTGACATTATTGATTAGTTAAATTGTGGGTTAAGGAAGCATCTTTCCAATTATTCAGTAGTGAAAAGGATTAGTCTACTTGTGTATCTTTCGGACTTGTAGATGAAAAGCATGCTGACGTTTATCATCTGCCCTCATTCCACACTACACCATCCTGGAGCACCCTTCCCTTTCCCTCTTCAGCCCTCACTATACACAAAAGGGAGAATTCAAATGCATAGCACTTTCCATCTTTCCAGGAATGATTGACTTTTTATAACGTGGATTATGTAGCTAAATCTAGTGCAGTTTCCCTCTGTTCCATGTGAATCAGTTATCACAGTTTGATTCACGTTTGAATTTATTTATTGTCTAGGTTTGGTTGTGTGCCTTTTGTGGAACATTGTAGCAGTTACGGTTGCTTGGATCAAAGGTGAAGGTAAGTTGATCCCCATTATATGCCAGTTATCCTTCAAAATATGTTGTCTTCTATGGGTTGTTACTATAGTTATTTCTCATGTAGGTCCAACAATATGGTTTCTTGCGATTATCTACTTCATATCTGGTGTACCTGGAGCATATGTTGGGTGGTATCGGCCTCTCTATCGTGCTACAAGGTATAACCCAAGGGAACTGTGTCGTTTCCTTCTCTACCTTGAAAGAAGAATCCCCTCAAATCACAGCCCTTAGTGTTAATTGTACTTTATGGGATTTTTTCAATAGAGAAATCAATATTACTCTTATATGAGTCGAGGAAGCTGCAAGAACCTGTATTATGTGATAACTGATAGGAAAATACCTTAAGATATGTACTAAATTAGGCCAGAGAGCATGTTGTTTCTCTGGAGAGAAGGAACATTCGTTTGTCCAAAGAAGTTGCTTTGGTGTGGAGCTGATGAATAGGTAGTATTCAACAAATTTATTTGAGGAAAAGTACTCTCTTGTTCCATTTAGTTTGAGATATAGTTCGATTTGGTGTCTCACATTTAAAACACCGTGGTTGGCCCTCTTAGTTTGAAAATTAGTTTTTTTTTTTCTTTTTTAAAAGAAACCACACTTCTATTGGGAAACATGAAAGTACATAACATGGTAACACAAATACAACAGCCCAACTAGAGGAGTCCAATCAAAGAAGGGTCTTCAGTCGAAAAGAATTAAGCAAAGCTCATAATTCGAGTAGCAGAAGCCCACAACAAGTTGTTAGGCCCCCCCCAATTTCACGTCCAATACGAGTCTTGAAAACATATGCACACTCATCTCAAACTTGGTCATCTTCGCCGATGTCATATTTCTGAACTGGTATATTGATTCATAACTTATTTGTGAGTAGTAGAAATTTAGCTCTTATGACAAGTGATCTGTATGTTGGTTTGGTTGGTTTGTGGCACTTATGACAAGTTAGATTATTTACATTTACAGGACCGATAGTGCTCTGAAGTTTGGGTGGTTTTTTATAGTTTACTCGGTAACCTCACAACTTTGCTTTTCAGTTACTTTTCCAGCTATGAAGATGTTTTGCTTTGTTTCCCAAGTTAACAAATTTGTTCTTCCAGATTCATATTGGTTTCTGCGTATTTTCTTCAATTGCTCCTCCCATTATATTTAGGGGGAAGTCTCTTACGTAAGTTCTGATGCCCTTATATGAAAATAGAGGGTTATACTTGTTGAACAACTAATATTTTATCTTAATTTTCTTGAGAGAAGTTGATATTTGTTTGATGTGTTTTTTCAGAGGGATCTTACCTGCTATAGACTTGTTGAGTACTAATGCTGTGGTTGGGGTAAGTTCTACTCGAGATTGCATGTCTGTGTATATGCTTTGAAATGCTATCTATTATGCTAAGATCAACAAATATAGGTATTCTGGATTATAACCTCCCTCTCTCTTGATTTTCAAGTTTTAAATCCCATGTTAAAAGTTAGAATGCTAGTACATGGCTTGATTTTATGTGTGAACCCCTGTATTAAGGCACCCGACATCTTTTCCAATTTGGCTCTCTTGCTACTCAACTTATATATATAACAAAATTGGACTTTTGCATTTAAGCATATGAATGTTTGTACTGTCAAGTATCCAACTACAAAAGTAACCATGTCAGTTATTATTTGATCTTTTACTCGTATGAACATAGTGATTTTCTCAGTTTGTATATTGGTTTCGGTTTGAAGTCTGCTACTTAATGATTAATGACACTTGTCACAGACATTCTACTTCATTGGTTTTGCATTCTTCTGCATTGAATCACTGATCAGCATATGGGTTATCCAGGTTTGTATCTCACGAAGAAATGTAACATCTTCCTCGTATGCCTTCAATTTGTTTTGATTCCCACTGAAAAACTTCATGCATCCAATTTGCAGCAAGTTTACATGTATTTCCGAGGTAGCGGTAAGGCCGCAGAAATGAAACGTGCAGCCGCCATGGGGACCCTGAGGGCAGCCTTTTGATATGAACATCCAAACTGGTTCGCGCAAGGAAAATCCATTATTTTGATAACCTTCATTACACCAACAGTTTACATATAGTGAGGTCCCTTACCGCTTGACCCTTTATTGTTATCGTTTGCATATAGTGAGATCCTTGTATTTTATTGTTATTGTTTTTTGGGGTTAAATTATAAAAAAATACGCTTGACCCTTCATTCAAAAGTATTTGTATATTTTCAAAAGCTACCATTTTTGTTTCTAAACTACTATTGGAGGATAAATCTTTTATGATTTTGGATGGAAATTGAGACTTAGAATAGTAGCCATTATGAGCCTTGAGTTCAGGTTCCATTTGAAGGCCACAACCTTGATGTTTTACAAGCAGCAGAACAGAGGTTAAAGGGTGTTTAGGCACACAAGCTCTATCATCTTCTTTGGCAGAGTTTTTACAGGTTATGCAAGTTTCTTCTTCCTTTATTTATTTATTTTCTTTTCTTAGCGTCTAGGTGGGAGTTTTGAAAATCCCTAGAAATGATTTATTGGGCTGTTTGACTTTTCAAGTTCCCTTAATTTTGGTTGCTAATCTAATTTAATGGTGTTAAATGAGATTTCTATAAATTCATTGTGCTTTGACTTTCACAATTTTGTATTGTACAACATGAGAAAGTGGGATTTTCTTTTCCCTTATTTGCCTAACCATATTGAATCTCATTGGTTAATTTGGTTACTTTCCTAACTCCTTTTTAATACTCTTTAATTGATTACCCAATATATAGTGTTATCTCGAACTACTTTTTACGCTCACACCTAAACAATATTATAGATTATTAATACCTTTTGTGGACGGTTTGTAACTAAACACATGGGGTGTCCTCGCTACGGGACTAGGCGTAATGAGGCGTATTATGGCACGAGCTAATGATAATCATGCATTACATGTGTCTGTGTTCTTCATGCAGGTTCGCAACATGTCAAGCCTTAATAAAGTTCTTCCATTTGCATCAGTACCCATTTCTTTGAATTTGATTCTTGTGAACGTACTCTTAGTCGTGTGAAATAAGGCACCATAATATTCTTCTAAGTTGGTATATTATTGGTAATGTAGTAGGGTAGCCGAGTACAAATAGTGGAAAGATAGGAGGGTAGAAGTGCAAGTGCAAGTAGTGGGAATGCCCATAACATAAAAAGCGACCAATCAGAAGCCGCCATTCACATACAGTGCATCTGATCTAAACAGGAGCAGCTCCATAATTAATTAATTAATACTCAAATCCATCCGTTCCAGCTGTACGGCCAGTATTTGATCCCAACATTTACCCTCCAACTGTTTTCTAATGACCGACCAAAATGACACGCACCCTCCCATTAATGCCCCTTCCCATCTCTCTTCTTGCCAAAACCTCATCTCGTGTGACTTAACTAACTTCCATGTACTATTTCGTACTTTCACACTATTCTTCTTCTTAACCTTTTTTTTATTATTAAGAAAAAAAAAACCCTATTTTTCTTGTTTGTAAAAAACAAAATATAAATATATAAACACGCATTTGCTTCCATGTCCTAATGTTTTAATACTTTGATCCGTTATAATAAATTTAATTATATCTAATATTATTTTGAAAGAAAATGAGTTATAAATTTAATTATATTGATTTTTTTTTCTTTTTTCTCGCAATTAATTTTTGTGGGTATTGCGAGTGGGGGAGGATGAAAAATCTTTATATAAAGGGTCGACCTCTATCGCCTCTCATGCACTTCAAACCCCCATCTCTCTCTCTCTCTCTCTCTCTGCAATGGTTTGCTTTTGTTTTCTGGTGGATCAGACTCGTCAGGTGCGGCGGAGCAAACCGGCAGCAGGATTTTGTTCCCGGTGCGGCGGCGGGGCCAGCGTCGCCGACATGAAGACCGCCACTAGATTCTGTTCCGTCCCATTTTATTGGAGGTCTTGGAGAGCCATTATTTGCACTTTCTGTGGAGCTATTATCAGATCATATCGCTGAAGCGCCTCTAATGTGATTTAGATTATTATCAAAACTTAGCTTAAAGCTTGTCTAATGTCCGATTAACATTTCTTAGCTATGATTTCAATGGTGTTCATATTCCTTTTGATTTTTCTACTGTTTAGACCCATACCCACGTGGATTTCCCCCCTTAAAACAGGAGGAATGATTCAAAATTAATTAAAAATTTGTGTAATGGATGGATTGAATACACGAGAAGGAAATTAAAAGTTGTAAATTTTGAATCAAGCTGCAATTTTAGAGGTAGATCTCAATGAATGTGGTGCTGAAAATGGAAGAACAGAGATTGATAATTCAATATATGTTCAAAGTTCTGTCGGATACAAAAAATTGAAATGTAATAATGGTAAGGGCGACCAGAAATTAATGAAATTTATAAAGATTTCAGCTTTCTACATTTATTTGGGTAAATTTGGGGGGTTCGAAGTATTCAATGTTTTCTCCAAAATATCACTTTTTTTACTGACCAAATTCCAAATTTCCGTCACGTATCACCATTAGCCTCACAGTTTTAAAACGTGTTTGTTATAAAGATGTTTCCACACCTTTATAAACAATGCTTCGTTCGTTCTCCTCTCCAACGAATGAGGCTATAGAAACCTCTCCCTACTTCGAGAGGGAAAAGGGTGTAAAAACCTCTCCCATTTTAAAACCGTGAGACTGACTGCGATACGTAACGGGTCAAAGTGGACAATATCTGCTAACGGATAATGGAAGTCTTTGTTAGCGAAGGTTTTGTGTGTTACTTATTCATGGAATGTCACATACTTTGACCCACAACATAGTTTATATAGGAAGAATCAAAAGTGAGAAAGCTCTTATCCACATAAAGAATATTCCGTTCCTATTTGTAAAAGTAGGCAGCTGGCCAAAGAGAATTCCAGCTTCCAGCTGCCTCTCATTTATGATGAATTGGTCGTTTTAGCACAGAAAGAAGAAACATGTTTTCTGCGCTATACCTTTCACTTTGCTTCAACACCCTCATTTCCTACCCAACCACTGCATTCAATATTCCCACCTCTATTCAACCACTTCACTCTTATTCTCACTCTGCCTTTTGATCACAAGTTCAAAGCTCTGCATATTGCAGTGACTTCGACTTGTTTTCGTGTTCTAATCGCCATTAACGATCCCCGTTAAGACACACGAAACAGACCATGAAAATCGCATGCCAATACGTTGTTATGTTAATGTCACACAAACTCATCACAGAAAGGCAATAGAACTACTGAATCTAAATGTACTGCTGTAATGGTCAGTAAAGACGTTAAATAAGGCAGAGTTTAACCTGATATTTCTCTTCTTGGATGTCCTTGAAATGTTGTATGAGAAGAGCATCATACAAAGAAATGAAATGGGAATAATCAGAGCAGAAGAATTGTTCTGCAGAATCAAGCGTTTGCGTTCCTTGTGAAGTCGATGCAAGTCTGGCAGCTGCATTCTGAAAAACGACAGATATCACACCCGAAGCAGACGCAGGAAGTGCAGCCCTTGCACGTTGGCGAACGGCTGCATCCCCTATAAACCCTCCGACTCGCTCGTTCTTCATCGGTGTCACATGTTATTCTGCAAAACAAAAAGGAGTAATACATATGATGTTTTTTAAGACCAGCTCTCGAGGTTAAACGTACCTGTCATATGGTAGATCAGCACAAGTCCAATTACTATCAGCCAATGCATCATGGTGTATTCGGCATTCCTCTTCTGTTCTAAGTCGAAATCTGCGTTCCTTGTTGCATCTACTACATCGAACAAACTCGTCACGATGACAGACTCGTCCGCTTTGGGATCTTCCGGATCCATTGCTGCTTTTTAGCGCCTGGTTGTAGTACTTGAGGAGCACAGTCTTGTAGAGTGGAACCTTATCTCCATCAACTATGACCCAAACATTGTTCTTCCATTTTCGAGCCGTTTCTCGTCCCGAGTGCTTCTCAAATGCAGCAGGACTCAACTTGTCTAGTCGTCATGTTAAATTCAAATTAAGAATAAGGAACAAGAATTAAGATCATACAACAAATATTAAGACTTACGAGGATCATCTCAAATATTACCTCATCCATAAAGCAGAGTAATCAAATAAGAAAAACATGCCCGTTTGCCATCATTTAGAACCAATCTGATTTATACTGATAAGATAACAAATCCATGCAAGGGCTTTCAGAATTTCCACATGAGAGCGGCATCACTAATGCACCACTATCTATCTTTAACAGTCCAAGCCCAACCCCACCGCGAGCCGGTATTGTTCGTTTTGGCTTGTAACGTATCGCCATCAGCTTCACAATTTTAAAACGCGTTTGATAGGGAGAGATTTCCACACCCTTATAAGAAATATTTCATTCCTCTCTCCAACCGATGTGGGATCTCACAATCCACTCCCCTTAGGGGCCCAACGTCCTCGCTGACACATTGCCCGGTGTCTAGCTCCCATTTGTAACAACCCAAACTCACCACTAGCAGATATTGTCTGCTTTGACCCGTAACGTATCGTCGTTAGTCTCACGGTTTTAAAACGCGTCTGCAAGGAACGGATTTCCACACACTTATAAAGAATGCTTCGTTCCCCTCTCCAACCGATGTGGGATCGCATACTATCTTTAGCTCATTTGATCCATCCTTCATATGAAGGTTAACAACCAACAGATCAAAATTGTATAACGAACCAACCCGAGAGATAGTGGATCTTTACAAGCTTATGCTTTGTGTTCTATATCTGAATAGATCTTAACATAATGAGCTATTTAAGGACTTTCCTCCAGTGTTTGCCTGTTCATGTCCTTGACGACCAGAAGAACGAAGCTCTCATATCCTTAAGTGGAACGCATTATTGTGTCAAGACAAGATGAAAAAATAAATTTCACCAAATACAATATCATAAAATAAAAGCAGCCATGGATAACCAAAAGAAGTAGTGTGCTACTATGATTGATCTACACAACAAGAAAGTAAAAAACAGAACCTTAGTATCAAAAACCTAATACAAGAAGCAACTGTAGAGAACTCCGGACCATAAACTAGTGTGAGATCCCACATCAATTGGTGAGGGGAACGAAACATTCCTTATAAGGGTGTGGAAACCTCTCCCTAACAGACGCGTTTTAAAACCTTGAAGGAAAGTCCAAATAGGATAATTTCTAGTAGCAGTGGGCTTAGGCATTTACAAATGGTATCAGAGCCAGACACCGGGCAGTGTGCCTGCGAGGATGCTAGGCCTCTAAAGGGGGTGGATTGTGAGATCCCATATTGGTTGGAAAATGGAACAAAGCATCCCTGATAAAGATGTAGAAACCTCTCTCTACTAGACGCATTTTAAGATTTTGAAGGAAAACTCAAAGAAGACAAAAACTGTTAGCGGTGGGCTTGGACGGTTACAACTAGAGGGCATTTCCATTCTTTCATAATGGATTTGAAAATACTGACTTGAAGCTACCAAGAGTGAGTGAGTTTGGGATGACTTTTTAAACACTTTCTCTTTTTTATTAAGAACTTAGGATAATCATTCCAAACAAATTCTAACAAGTTTTAACAAGAAATTCTCAAGAACTGGCACATGAATCATTGAAAATTGGTAAAAATGAAACCATACGTGTTTCTTGCTCTCCACTGTCAAAAATTGATGAACAAAACACACTTGAAACGTTAAAACTCCCCATCCGTAGTACTACCTCTCTTATCCTCTTAAGACCCTAACCCTATCCACAACCCCAATGAATGCAGGGACAGAAAGTGACAGCCATTAACGTCAAACCCCATTTTTCAAATCCATGACAAGACAAACACAAGGACAAACCCACCAAAGCATGCATACAAATCAAAACAGAACTGAGAAGAACAAAGAACGAAGAACTATATCTTGAATCTCATCACAAGAAACCCCATCAAAATCGAGTAAAGAAGTCAGCTATCATACATTCAAGACATGTTAATGAATATTGAATATGAGAGAGGGAGAGAGAGAAACCTTCATGACAACCAGGAGTGCATTCACAGGTGATTTCAAGTTCACCATTAACAAAAACCCTCAACCTTCCAACAGAATCGCCATATCGATGACTGGTACAGCCACAAGTGACCTCCACAAAGTCTCCACCGAACTTAACCCCACTCATCTCACTCAACTCCTCGCAAGAAAACAACACGACCCCATTTTCATCCACCCCACTACCCATTTCCCTCTCTAATCTCCGATTACTCTGTAAATCACAAATCCAGATTGAACCCAGAAACGATATCGGAGAGAAATCGCGGAAAACAAAAAGAAAACCCAAAAAAATTCAAGTAAAAAACATGGGGTTTTATTGGAAATAGAAAGAATCTCGATAGATGCTCATATTGAAAGCGTTGCGATAGATCTCATGGAAAATTAAAGGGTTGGGGGCGTTGGAGGGATGGAGGGATGAATGAATTTGAATGAAGAAATGAGAGACCTGGGTATAAGGGAAGGCAATGACGTGTGCGGGAGGGGCTTATTCTTATGCCCCTCTTGCATGATATGATATGACATTGGACACAACACACAGCGAGAGAGAGAAACTCGGGGGCCGTCATGCCTTTGCTTTGCTAATTCTTCGCATTTTTTTTGAATCATAATATTTATAAATATTTTATTCTAATCATTTAATTTTCAAAAATTTATTTATACAAGTAGGACATATTTTATTGTTATTTTTTTTCAATGGATAATTTATTTATGCATAAAAATGGTATGAAAAGCACTTTTGTTGGTTGATGCCATTCAATTGCATTATTTTTGTGCATGATTTAAATATTTGTGATTCCCTCCCTCCTTTATTCCGGAAAGATTTGCTACCACTTTTAGTCGTAGTGGTGTCGAGCTAAGCATAAGAGGATTGTATACTTTTGAAGGTGGGATATCCTCTATTATATTGACCCCACCCGACACTTTCTTAGGGTTCATGTTGGAGGAGAGTGCTCGAGGCGGAGGGTTGAGGGACGAAAACTAGGGGTCAAGGAGAAAGCCAAGGCAGTCGAGGAGGCCATCCAAGTCGAGAAGAATTGTTGGGTAAGTAGGATCGAGGTGTAGGCTACCTTCAGGGACTTTCTTTCCTATGATGCCCCTTGAAAGAATCTTATTGGGTTTGTCGAGGCATCTTTCGTGTCCAAGGCATAGGAGACTATGCTGAAGTGTGCTTTCGCGAACTTTTGGGTAGTTGACGAACAAGCTTAAGAAGCTAACGTGTAGCTCGAAAAATTTAAACATCCTGTCCCAAATAAATGATTATATTCAATTATTGTTTATCATTGAGCTGAATTCACTCCCATTATGGTCCAACTTTTCCATTTATTCACAGTGCAATTAATGTGAATATGAAACAAGTTATCTTTCATCTTCATTTTCCATTCCTCAACAACCTTAGTGGAAACCAATTTGGACGGCGCCTAACTTCTAATAATTTAGCACACTTTTTTTATTTATTTATATTATCTTTAAATATCTATAAATTTATTATTGGTATTATTTACTATTATTTCAACCAACTTTTAATAATGAAAAATTATGACCCGTAGCTAAAAAAGTTATTCAAAATGAAAAATGGCCGAAAAAATTTGGTATTCACCATTATCAAAGTCAATATTCTATAGTGAGAAATAGAAAACGGTGGACAGACAATGATAGATGTATGTACATACGTAATCGACGTGGTTAAAATAACATAAGAGTAGAGATAAAATTTGGGTGTCCTTCCTCACATGTATAATGGCACGGTATTCAACCCAAATATCAGTTCAAATGGGCTTTGCATGAATGGTAAGATAGGGACAACATTGTTACGGTAGTGAGGGGTAAGATTGAACCTCTTCACTGTACGTCTTGTATTGTTGAACCTGGGTATATTCTCTAGGTAGCTGAACTTCTTTCTCAAATTGCTTGTTTCGGTAACACGGTTGAACTCCTTATTCGTTGAGTTATGTCTGTTTGGTGCAAGACTATGCACGATTTGAATCATTTGGAGTCGCACGTTGTTGCTCTTGCATTGATTGGACTGTGGAATCGACCCAATTTAAAGTTATTCAAATGAGAAAATTTGCTAACAGGCGACCATAGATTTCAATATTTAAATTATGGGTCGGAAGAAACAATTTTTTTAAACTAATCATTTAAATATTACAATTTTATAATTGGGTTTATTAGTGGGTGAACCAAACGCGCCAAGGTGTAGCGTGGGAAAGTCGGAGAAAGATGAAACAAATAATATTACAATTTTTATTGAATATTTATTTATTTATTATTTTGCCAACATTTGAAGCAAAACCAAATCCGCTCAGTCGGCCATGTCCGCACAGGGAGCGCTTTCTTCTCCATTTCCACTCTCTTTTCTTACGCTCTACTTTTCCCTTTCTTCCTTCGGCCGATCACCTACTGTTCCTGACCCATCGAACCAACTCAAAAACCAGCCCAAAAGTCTTTGCTTCTAAGTTTCTTCAGCCCCATTCCATTTGAGCTCTCCAAATGGGGCTTTGATTCGTTATCTGAATACCCAGTAAGGATTTTCTCTGTTTCCTCCCTTTTGTTGGGTTTCTTTGTTCTTTCTCTTATGAGCTCTGTGGAGCTCACAGTCGGAGTGTTTTCTGGCACTTGCTCTGTAATTTACTTCGATTGATTTAGATCTGAATTTGTTGGAACAACGCGCCGTTGTTGGTGTTTTTACATTGAGGAAATCTAGCTGTTATTTGTTCTTTGATTAATTGGGTAATTCGACTTAATTGCATTTACTTCGTTGCCGTTTTGTTCTTCCTACATTTCAATCTTGAGTTACTTCTCTTTAATTTACCCCATCGGTTTGGGACAGATCGCTGTTTCTATGAAATGGGTTTCACTTTTGAGCTTGTGATGGTTGTTTCTGAGCAATGATTTTCTTTATTTCCTCTTCTTCTAAGGCCATTGGAGGTTTTGGCAGAGCAGTGAGTGATAGAACTTGTAATTTTGTGAGATATCAATCTGTGGTTAATAGCATTATCCGGAATGATTGGGCGTAAAGCCAATGTGGGTAGCTTTTTAAATCAGCAATGGATGAGGAAGAACATGAATTCTCGTGATAGAAAATGGATTGTCCCATTCTTTGCCAGTCTGCTCATTTCAGTTTCCCTGCTTCTAACAGCTACTTTTGGGCTGTTTATTCCTTCACAAAGTGATAATCAATTGCCATTTTATGCTATACCTTTCCCAAAAGAGGAGGATTCTAGTGGGTATTTCATTGAGCCTGAACTAAAAAGATCATTGGAAGAAGCTAGTGGTGTTCTGAAAATGGAACCTCCAAGATTGGCCTATCTAATTTCAGGTACAAAGGGGGATAGCCGCAGAATGATGAGGACATTGCAGGCTGTATATCACCCAAGGAATCAATATGTTCTGCACATGGATCTCGAGGCTCCGCCTCGTGAAAGATTGGAGCTGACTAATCTTGTAAAGGCTGATTCAACGTTCAATGAGGTCGAGAATGTGCGTGTAATGGCTCAGTCCAATTTGGTTACTTATAAAGGACCTACGATGATTGCTTGCACGCTTCAAGCGATAGCGATTTTGTTGAGAGAGAGTTTGGATTGGGACTGGCTTATAAACTTAAGTGCCTCAGATTATCCATTGATGACACAAGATGGTTAGTACACTTCCAGTTCCTATTGATGAATGTATTTCAATGTGATTAAAGTGTCTTCAACATTGCAGATTTGCTTTATGTGTTCTCCAACTTGACTAGAAATTTCAATTTTATTGAGCATTCACAGATTGCGGGGTGGAAATTGTAAGTAATAGTTAATGCCTTGAAGTTTTGTTTTGATCTTGTAATTCTTAGTATTTTCATGTTATGAGAACTATCTTTTATGTATCATTTCAGGAGTCATCGAGCGAAACCGATCATCGTTGATCCAGGTCTTTACTTGTCCAGAAAATCGGAACTTTCTTGGACGACTCAAAGACGCTCGCTTCCGACATCATTCAAGTTGTTTACAGGTTAGTATGTATTCCAGTTCTTTCATGCACTAATCCAAACGTTGGTGCATTTGTTCTCTTATGTATTTGTGAGATCCCATATCGGTTGGAGAGAAGAACGAAACATTCTTATTAAGAGTGTTGAAGCCTCTCCCTAACAGACGTGTCTTAAAACCTTGAGGGAAAACCCATAAAGGAAAGCTCAAAGAGGACAATATCTGCTAGCGGTAGACTTGAACTGTTACAAATGGTATCAGAACTAGCATCGGCCAGTGTGCCAGCAAGGACGCTAGGCCCCCAAAGGGGATGAATTGTGAGATCCCACATCGATTAGAGAGAAGAACGAGTGCCCTCGAGGATACTGTGTCTCGAAGGAGGGTGGATTGAGAGATCCCACATCGATTGGAAAGGGGAATAAGTGCCAACGAGGATACTGGGCACCGAAGGGGTAGATTGTAAAATCCCGCATCGATTGGATAAGAGAACGAAACATTCTTTATAAGGGTGTGGAAACCTGTCCCTGACATATGCGTTTTAAAACCTTGATGGGAAACCCAAAAGGCCGAAAGGGAAAGCCCAAAAAGACAATATTTACTAGGAGTGGGCTTGGCTGTATTTTAGTTCGACATTCTCTTTGTTTGTAGTCCTTTCTAATATTTCTTTGGTATAAACTTATAGGTCTAAGAACACAGTTTCTTACGTTATTCCCTATTTGTAGGTTCGGCATGGGTAATGTTAACACGATCGTTCGTCGAGTATTGCATTTGGGGATGGGATAATCTCCCACGAACCATCCTCATGTATTACACGAATTTTCTGTCGTCGCCAGAGGGCTATTTTCACACGGTAATCTGCAACAATGAAGAATTTCGCCGCACCACAGTAAGTCACGACCTCCATTACATTGCTTGGGACAATCCTCCAAAGCAGCATCCACTGTCTTTGACAATGAAGGACTTCAATAAAATGGTGAACAGCAATGCTCCGTTTGCTCGGAAGTTTGCCAAGGATGATCCAGTGTTGGACAAGATAGATAAAGAGCTGCTTGCTCGAACAAAAAACAGATTTTCACCAGGGGCTTGGTGTATTGGGAGCTCGGAAGGAGGAGCTGACCCGTGCTCGGTGCGTGGAAACGATTCGGTGTTCAGGGCAGGCCCTGGTGCTGGCAGGTTGCAAGAGCTCGTTCACTCACTGTTGTCTGAAGAAATTTTGAAAAAACAGTGTACATGAGAAATAGGTAAACTAAAAGTTCACAGTTTTACATCTAAACCAAGTGTATATTAAATATGACAAATTTTTGTTCTCTTGAGTTCAGAAGAAATTTCTTGTTTGAGATACTTGAAGTATCCAAATCAAAATCAAATAATTACAAAAAGAATTCAAATGACCCTTATCCGTAAATGGCCAAAAAGTCAAGATTTTGGCAACGGCTATTATCGTATAAGAGAAGAAAAAAAAAACAAAAAGAGAATACGCCGTTGCCGGGGATCGAACCCGGGTCACCCGCGTGACAGGCGGGAATACTTACCACTATACTACAACGACTTTGTTGATCCCCTCCCTTCTATGATGTATAAGATCTAAAATTACGGGACAGTTCTGCCTTAGTTTTTCCCTTTAATTTATTAATCTGAGCATCTTATTTGAGTTCTGATTTGATGAAACAATACCCAAAAAGAAAAAAAATTAAATAATTTTGAACCAATTTAATAGGTAGTTGATGTTTTGTATTTATTTAACCATTATTTTCCTCTTTTTTAAGAGAGCATTTGAATTTATAGCCAAATTCCAAAAGCAAAAATAAAATTTTAAAATTATTTTTGTACCTTGAAATCTGAAAACAAATTATGGTCATAAAATGGGACCTTTGTGATCAAGTAAAAAAAAAAAAAAGTTCTAGACATACTAAAGTGCTTTAAAAGAACGAACATATATATATATGTATATATATATATATATATACACCGCTGCTTTCAAAAGTACTCATAATTCATAAAAGGAGAGCTTCACTCCAAAAAAAAGTATCCGCTTTGAGAGAACTCAGATAGATGACCAACAGTTATAGGAGTATAAGATCTTAAACCCAGTTTTGCTCACATGATTTAACAACATCTGATCAAAAGCCTAATATGGTTCTTTATTAATCTACCTCTACGACTCTTAACTCATACATACCTCCCTGCAGTCTAGAACGGTCGAAAATATCGCCCTGTACTGAAAAAGGTATGGATAAGAGCATTTTCAGAAATGAATGGTATTTTGGCATAAGTCCCTAAGAGAGAACTCCTTATGCACAAGGACAGGATGGAAATGTAGATGAACCCCACTGCTGCCCAATATTGCATTGAGTATGTACCATTGTAATGTATGAGTGGCATGAAGTTGCTTGTATACCATAAGATGTCAAGCGCGGTTCCTAATAGCATCCCCATCATGACATGGAACCTAATGAAATGAGGCAATTCCTTGTTCCTCACGACTCCGAAGTATGCGAGGTTGAAGTACAACATGGGGAACCACCACGGTAAGTTCTGAACAGCTCCGGGGACATAGAATATAAGATTATCAACATTCAAGTGTTCCAACAAGGGCAAGAGATAATATGCTGTACTAGACATCTGCAAAGCCATCAAGTATGGAACACAAGCCAAAGTCCTCCACCACCATTCTGGTTTTTTGGTGACCATAGAGTGGCGTTTTACACCGTAAGAGTCGTCTCTGAATACTTGAGGACTCTTTCCAGCATACTTTCGTGGAGGTAGAAGTGGAAGTTTGTGGAATAGACTACCTTGTTCCCCACATAGAGTTGGGGATGCTGCTGCAGAAAGGTGTGATATGAGCATTCCTGGAAATCATAATATTTGGAATGAACATTATTATCTCTTCTCCAACTACAAATATTATGGCATTGAATCAAATACCAAAAGTTGGTTAAAGTATCATGTGACACGAGAACAATGCAGTAAAAATCCTGACTGAATGATATGATGTCAAGACCCGATTTTCAAGGCTTCGAAAATCAGACCGTGAACTAAAAGACGAAATCGAAAATAAACAAAAAGAAAATAGAAGAAGAGAAAAGTAAAAAGATAAAAACTCCATTTGGTTAAAACAAGAGAGAGAAGATTAGTTTCGAAATTATTACAAAGAAAATTACAAATGTAAAATGAAACACAAAAGACTCGAAAAGACCGACAAGGGACTGACGCTCCGGAACGACCCCCTCTGTGACCGCACAGCTCTCGAACGCTCCTCCACCTCGACCGGCACCTAAAAAAAAAAGGGTAAAAGGAATGAGTATAAAAATTATACTCAGTAAGCCACCTACTTGTAGGCTCTCGTCGCACCCTAAACTTAACAAACAACCACGGACTTTCCTTTGGCTCTAGATCATCTGATTCTGGTCTTAGCTCATTAGGGCTTCCCCCTAGGGACTTGCCCCCTTCGGGCTTCTTTGGTTCTTAGATCTTCTATTTATACCCCTAGAGTTCCTTTTATGCTAACCCGTGTCGGACTGGTGCCTTGCGAGTGGCTACCTCGGCATGGGTATGAGATTACTTGGGGTCTTGCCTAGGAAGTGAGCTGCAACCCCCTAGCCCCATGGTAATCCCCCTGTATTTGGGAGGGCTACCTCCCCTATTCCATCCAGCTAAACGGTCAATTACGACGTGGGTATCCCGTTTCCCATACTAAACGGCTATCGAGCAGTCGAGTCCTGATCAGGAACCCGCTGGTCCCCCACGAAGCTATATCACCATCCACACACAAGTAGCCTA